ATATATATATATATTTTCCCTTTCCACCCCAAAGCACCCTCTGGTAGAGAGAGAGATTGATTCACAAATCAAAAACTACTCAAGGTCATGCATGGATAACAATTGAATTTAAAATTTTATTTTGAAAGTACACTTAAGAGTAATCATTGGCAAGTTCACATATCTTGGTTTTATTGTGAAGAACACTATTCTCATTGGAAAGAAACAGACCTGGCTATCTCTGGTCTCATGATTAAGAATTGGCTCTCATTTTAATTCAGCTGAAAAAGGAAATGGTGCACTCCTATGATGCAACTGGTCAAAACAATTAAGCTATAGTCAAAACAAGCATAATTAGCTTGAAAAACCTGTTTTCTGTCCTAGTGTAAATTTGGCACCTGATGCATATTCACCCATGGTCAGCCTCTTTCAGGATAGAATCAGGCATAAGTGAAGATCCTTGCCCAATTTCCTATTCTGCATTTCTGCTCCGTTATTTTGGGTTAATATTCACATTCACTGAACTTTAATTTAGTTGTACTACATTGCTTATGTTATTAACACATTGATTTCCTCCTTTGTGCTTTCCTGCTACAGTGAGACACTCCTGGTTTTCTTTCTTCCTCAAGTGTTGAACTTTCTTTTATCAGTTCCTCAGGTTTGTTCTATGAATCTCCCTGTGTGATTATTATAACAGCACTGGCTACAACATATGAAAAAGTATCTAATTAACATGGGCATTGTATTTTGTTAGCTTTTCAGCTTCCTCAAATGTCCTCAGCATCGTCTGCCTAGGTAACTCCTTATTTCTCTCCTCAGCATTGAATTATAAAGGTTGTTCTAGATATCAATCTCCCATTTTTGTAATTTAAATGTTGCTTTTCTCATCTTAGGTTCAATCCTGAAACTGGACTACTTACTGGGACACCTGACTGTACACTAGTTAACTTTTACTTGAGAATATTTGGGCCAAAATCAGAAAAGTCACTCTGCATCCACCTCCTCATTGTTCAGGTTTCATTACTTTCCTTTAACCTATAAACCATATTTCTGTAATCTTCAAATGGAAAAAAATGTTTAACCAGTTAGTAAGTAAAAGTTCCCCCCGCGTTATAATTTTGTTTTTTTCCTCTTACAAAGCGAAAGCAGACATGCGACTCTTTACTTCTGACTCATTCATATGTTTCCCTTTCTATTTCATTCACAGGCTGTAGGATGCTGCTTCTGTTTCCTACTGAGGTACTTTCTTGCTTGTTGGTATAAATAAGGCAGCGACATTAAGGAGCTGGAAAATCTCGTCCTAACAAACATTAGAGTTGTTCTATTCATCCTTCGGTGGAGACAAATGACCTGCGATTTTGGACATTGTTCGGGAGCGAAAACTGACAATGGTATTGAAGCATTAATGTACTTTTTGTGAGATCACCATGCGACTACATCTTGTATTTGTCTTAATTTTTCTGTTCAGCTGTCTTTTTGACTCTTGG